GAGCTGAACAATGAAACTAGGCCCACTAAATTTGTTTTTGTTGCATGTAAATATGTGTGCAGTGGTTATCACTCTTCATGGTGACAGTGAGTAAGGAGTCCATCCTTTAAAGGGGATAATCTGGTGCTGACTTGTCCTTGAGCAAGACAATGAATATCAATCAGCTCCGTGTATGACCTCTGACCTACCTTAGTCTTTCTACCTCTTGCTGTTGCTTCTACTTTTAGCCAGTTTTCACACTCCCCCCTTTCCTGAATTACCCTTCCCTCTTTTTCGCCACCATGTCTTACTTTTTTAAAATGTGCCCGTGTCTGCCAGTCTCATTTCAAATCTGTTTCATGTTTTAATCTGCTTAATCTGTTTTTCCCACAGCCGCTCCACCTCATTTCCTCTCCTACTCCTTCCTACACCCTGTTGATTTGCTGCCGACATCCTCACGGCTCATGAAATGTGACCAACCATGTCATCCTATATTTTGTCTTATCAACCATCTCCCTCTCTTTTCCCCCTCGCTCGTTTCTTTTGATGTTTCCCTCCCTCCCTTCTATCCTGCCGTCTCATCTCGCAGTTTTGAGCACAAGTCAGAAAAAGGATTATTTTTCTTTAGTCATCTTCGGAGGAGCCTCAAATAGGCGCCGGCAAACGGGTTAAGAATAGAAAAACGATGCTATTTATAACTTGTTCCAAAGAATGCCTACCAGCCGAAACAATTGCACTGCCTCAGCATCGCTAATAGACACACATACGCACACACACATACACGCATGCACACAGCCAGCCACAAGAAAAGCTAGTAAATAAAAGGCCAGCACCACCTCAGCTACACACACACCTCTCCTTGACTACAAAAAGGCAGATGCAGTGAAAAACAATACCTGCATCCATATGCATCTTTAAATAGACCGTACTTGTCATGTATTGATAAGGTGACTCCCACAAGAATAGAAACAGAGCAATGAGCAGGATATATTTCAAGCTTTCAAAAGTTCAAGTTCCCGCAAGCTATTTCAGTGCCATGCAGTAATTTCTCGCTAAGTACGGTGAATTAATGTGCGTAATAGCAGAACTTTGGCTCAGTGGCTCATTTTAAATCTTTCATGCAAGTTACCTCATCCTCCAAACACACACACACATATGTGCACATATACACACACTGGTGTGGCGCATCGCTGACAGTTGACTGATGTTGGCCTCATAAGAACAGTGATCTCCCTTAATTATACATGATGTGTCACAGAGAAGGAGGAGGGAGAGAAAGAGGGTGATAGAGAGGAGGGAGGGTGGAAGAAGATACAGATGAGAGATGTAAAAATAGAAAGTGAGAAAAGGTGGTCAGAGGAGTAAATATGAGGCTGGAAGTAGAGCAGAGAATAAGTGGGGTGAAACACAGGAGAGCTCGGAGAAGATGGGAAAGAGGTACCGAGGAGAAGGACAGATGGGGGGAATGAGAAGAAAAAAGGGGAGAAGCGCTGAAAGCAGAGGAGGTCACTGTGTTTTGATCTTGATGAGGCTCTCCTGCAGCCGGTCTGACTTTAACATTAACGCTGAACATGAGAGGCTGCACACGTTCAGCACCCCGGGCTGTAGACACATCCAAAACACACACACAGCCACACACCCTCTCTACCTGCTGTATATTTTGCTGTCAAGCTATTCTTGGAGTCAAGGTAAACAACTTGAAAATAATTATGCTTTGCTGTCATCATGTCTCGTGACCCAGAACCTGAAATATTGTGAAAAACAAGGTTAATCCATCGAAATGCGTATATATCAGTGGCTGGCATACTAGCAGGTGGGCTCGCATCGGAACCACTGGTACATATTGGTATATACTCCAACACATTTTATTAACCAGAACAATAGGTTGAAAGGACCCTTTTTCCTCCTCTTGATATTACAGTAATATAGATCATAGCATTATTTTTTTACTTTTTAAACTACTTTTTTTTGCATCTTTAAAGGTTATGGTTGAAAGAATGAAGAATTTGTTTGGAAATGGATGCATAAGGAGAAACACTGTATTTACTAAATAATATTCTGAAAAGTGAATTATGCTATTATATGTTATGTATTTATGGTAATTTATATTTCTCTTGCAATTGTTGTTTCAAATAAGAGTAATGATATTTTGTAAATAGTAATTTTGAAGAAAAGGATGTTGATAATATTGTTTTGTATATTTGGTATCTATGACAGTTGATATATCTTCTGATCAGTTGCTGACTGATCAGAAGATATAAGGAAATACTCAGATACTACACCCCTGACTATGTTAAGATTGCAGAAAACGCTGATGATGGATGAAGCATACTGTGCTGGAGAGGAGTCTTGTCTGCTCCTCACTGTGTGTTTAAAATCTTACCATAGTACAGTAACATTTAAAACAACTACGACCTATCACTTCACCAGCGTTGATTCTCTACTGTAAAAATGTCTCCTGGAACAAACTCAAACTTAATTTGGGATAAATCACTCATATGTTGCATTTTATTCAATTTTAGCTTTTCATCTTCTATTTCTTTGTGTCTCCTTGAATAATCTTGTGTTTATATCTGGTCATGATGCCTTTTATGTCTAATGCAAATCAGTTTGAATTGCCTTGTTAAGCAATAATATCAATCATTCCAGTCATAAATATTAATTACTTTTTTAGGCAAAATTGTCTGAATTGAAGTCTTCACTTAATCAGAATAATCCATGCAGCGCCAAACATTGTGCCCCACAGGAACCTGGCTAATGCACCCATGTTTTATGCAAAGTCAAGACCTGACGCCTGACTCACATTAAGCAGCTATTCAGTTGTGACACATTTGCTCAGAAGCACAATTTGAGAACAACTTTATCACTCAGTTTCTATGATGGCATTCACTCTAGTGCTGTCTTTGGCATCTCATCCTGACCTACATGTGCAGAACAAAGTAGTAGTCTGCAGAGTAGCAGAACGATCAAAATTATAAGGAGAAGAACAATGACAATGCACAGGGGAAAAAAGCAGATATAGTAAGATGGATGGAAGATGTAAGTCTTCCTACAGTGAAAAGAGTAGAAGTGCTGTTGTTAGCATGAGGAGCACAGGATGTCATGAAATATGTAGGAAGGAGCAACTCAGCACCGGAACACAAAGCCATTAAAGAAAGAGCTGGAAAAATGCAGTCAGCTAGAAATATAAATGTCCATTTCCTTATCGAGCACAGATACACAGCTAAAAACACATACACACTTTCACAGTCTTGGACCTGAAAAGCCACACTTTAATGTTCTCTGACGTGTACACGCACTTTAACACACTTTTGTGCTCTCAAAGACACAAGCACGCAGGTATACATGCATGTGCAACACAAAGAAACAGATCTGGCCTTGCTCTGCCTCTCTCCCTCCTTCTCTCTCAGCGCACTTTATGGTATTTTGTAAATCATTGATTGGGTACATGTAGAAGACCAGTGAGACAGTTAGTTTCACATGCAGCGAGTTCGTTCTTTCTGGGTCAGACAACAGGGCAGCTGACAACTTCTTCTGAAGGCGTCTCAGGATGAGGTGTGGTGCTGCTCGGAGCTGCGTTCACTCACTGCGCTCTCAACTCTGTTCAACTCACTGGGTTGCCAACAAGCTGGTGCTGCTTTGAAGGAGTTGTTTGCTGAAGATGTAGTAGAATATAACTTACGGTATTAGTGTTTCTATGCTGTTTAGCATATTATATTAAAATATTTTCTTTGCACATTAATAATTATGAGGCCTTCCAACCACAGTTCAGAGCTGCAGTTGTGGAGCCAAAAGGGCATGAATGGTGGAGGAAGGAACACCAAATATTAAGCTGTAGGCTGTAACTCACAGATCAGCTCTTTTGCTCAAAGTCTGATTCCAATGACATGAGATGGCAGCAGATGGCAGATCATGATCTTTCAAAATCAATCTGCTTTTATCCTGAGTAGATATAACTTTTTTGCTGATAACATTTTAGTACAGTTGCTTGTGTACACGCAAACATCCCAGAAATACCTCCTCCTGCTTGTGGCTTGGGTGTAGTTACAGGGCTGTGACTACCTCAGTCATTTTGAAATAAAGAAACAATTGTATATTAGCACTAGATCTCTTCTGTTCTCAGACTCCAATGGACAATGGCTGTTAGATTTGAACCTGATAAATCCAAGTGAAGGCTCTGATTTTAGAAAATGAGGTTTTGTTTTTGAGTAAATCCTTGACTTCCCATAAAAACACTTTTTCCAATGTGTCTACTTTTGAAGAATGTTTAAGAATAGTTTTTAGCCTTTTAGTTTGATACTACAACTGCTTACCAGCTGAGTGCTACAGGACTGACTTTCTTGGCATTTCCACTTGAAGCCGGTTGGGTGAAAACAACACGCATCATCTACAGGCAGTCAACGCAAGTAAGCACAACTGTCTACCTCTCTCTATCTACACACACACACACACACACACACACACACACACACACACACACACACACACACACACACACACACACACACACACACACACACAGCTCCACATGACTGATCAATAACCCAAACAGCAGTCCTCTCTGTCCTCATCATCATCACTATCATCACCACCACACCCATGGAGCTCCATCATTTCCTCTTCTGTGAACCACCAAACTTCATCCTAACTTCTCTCCATACATGGGTCACATCTTGCTTGGATCCCAACACACACATGTGCACAGATCACTATTTATTGGCTATTCCTTTTTTTGTTTTTTTAATCTCATTAAATAGGCATTATATTGTATGGAGCCTCTCCAGTAGGCTAAATCACAGCAGCATGGAAACTAGAATAACCACACGTTGAAATGGTCTTTGTTGTACAAATTTGACGAAATGATCAGAATAATAATAAACAATAAATCGAGATTAGCCTATAGTTTTAATTCACCTGTATAAGCCTCTGTGAAAATTAAAGGAAATGATTCTGCTGCATCCACGTGATGTTTGCAATGATCACAGAGGACAATACATGAGGTGGATGAGGCTTTCGTCTACCTGGATGCTGCAGGAGATCTCGGAGTCGTCCAGTAACCGGATCGTGCAGAGGACCTCCTGGTCCAAGGAGCGGATGCTGGGGCTGCGAAACCGGAGCATTTTCATCCTCCTGTCGGTTCTGTTTCAGCTCCTCATGTCAGCGGATCCGCGGGAAGACCAGACGAGACGCACACGTACATACACGGAGGACTCACGCAGACACACTCATGCATGTATGCTCCTTTCAGTCTGGGCTAGTCACCCCTCTGACGCCCTTGGGAATGAATGAGTGGATGGACAGATGGATGGATGGCTGGATAAGAGAATGGATGGATGCAACAGAGCGGGAGGGAGGAGAGCCTGCATCCGTCTCCTGCCTGCCCAATGATGAAGCTACAGGAGGGAAATAGCTCCCCCCCCCCCCCCCCCTCTCTCTCTCTCTTCTTCCCTCCCTCTCTCTCTCTCCCTGTCTGTCTCAGGATTGCTCACCCACCTTCCAACACGTTCCAAATTTCAGCATGAATCTCCACACTGCAATTATGATCCCACGTGTGTGGTGTCAGATTTACCAGTCCTGTTGAGTTTTGGATAAAGTCTTTAGCTATGCTTTCATATTTTTATAAAACAGAGGGAAAAACATTTATAGGCTATTCACACACTCATTATATGTGCTATGTCCTTCCACGTTTTTGAGGTGTTTTTTATAATTATGCTAAAATATAGGCATACAGATCCCCAGGCGCCTATAATGCCTTTAAACATGCATCAGCATGGAATGTGTCAAAATGTCTGATTGAGATAAAAATAAACCATATTGTTACACATAATTTCGTAACGTGATAAACTCTGTCATCAGAAACACGTCAGCTATGGGCTAAACTCATTTTAACTGCGGGATTATTTTATTTTAATAAATTATGACGTCAAAAACAATTTAGCTGCAACGTAAGCTAAACGTGTTGCAGAATAGAGTGCTGTCTCTTTAAGACGTAGCCGACGTGCTTCGATCGTCATCGCGTACTTGCAGCAAAACAACTTCCGGCCATGGTACGAGCAAATAAGTAATTCAAGTAGGAGATACTGCGCTCGTGGTGTTTTATTATATCGCCTCTTTGGAACAACACAGCTTTTTGGGTGGCGTTTCGTGTGGTTGCATCGTTTTTACCTGTAAAATGAGTTTTGTTTAGGTAAAACCATAGTATTTAATTTCTTATTGTCTTAGTAAGCCTCTGAAAAAGGATGAAGAGTTTTAACGTTACAAATCAGAACTACTAATATGCTTAGTGACAGTATGCTACACATGTGCGGGGTAAGAAACGACTGTATGAGTAAGTTAAGATCCCAGCAGCTGCGGAAGTTGTAAGGGTAGGTTACATCAGATTAGCACTGATGTTATTGCTACATATTTCCATGGTTCACATATGTAAGCCTTGTTGACTATGCAGACAAGTTTATGCCAGCAGTCATAAAGGGATTTCACTTCTTAAATCCATGTCAAGACAGGACCTTCCTTCAGGTGTCTGAGGATCCACAGGCAGGATGATCTACATCATAATGGGAGTCTCAGGCTGTGGAAAGTATGTCTATACTGCCTGTATGTTTATTTACAGAAGCCGTGGCATCTCACAAAAGCACACTGGAGTAGAGCATAACCAACATATTTAGGTTTGTTGAGTCACATGAGGAAAATTATGCGTAAATGCTTTGGAGAAAATAAATACATAATAATGTACCATTACATAATTGGTTACAGCACACTGATATCTCAGTTCAAAAACTTTATTAACCCACTAGGGGCAATTAGTTAAAAGCAGCATGTTTGCAAAAGTACATAAAGCAAAACACACAACATGCACAACATACAGCTAGCTAGTATGTGCACATTTGAAACCCCATATGGATCCTACAGGGAGTTTAGAAGTCTGATTGGCGAAGGGATAAAAGATGTGGATATCTGTGACAAGGTCACTGAGGAAAACTGTAAGACAATCAAAATACCACTATACAGCAGCAACTAACTATTATTTAAATTATCATAAAATCAGCCGATTTCTTTCTCGAATAATTGATTAATTATTCTGTCTATGAAATGTCTGGAAATAGTGACAAATGGTCATGTCAAATGTCATGTTAAATTATTCCTTGATCATCAATATAGTTGCTCTAAAGTACATGATGTCACATTAACACACTATTGTTGCACTGAATTAATTCTGTCTCGCTCCATTTCTTATACAGAAGCACGTTAGGGGCCTTCCTATCAGAAAAGGTAATTGGACCCCCCCCTCCTCCCCACCCAAAGATTTTTTTTAGCATGACCCAACACTTATGTGTGTGCATGTGTGTTCTTCCACTTATCAGCTGGGCTGGCCCCTGCATGAAGGGGATAACTTCCACCCAAAGGAGAACATCGAGAAAATGGCTTGTGGTGAACCACTCACAGACCAGGTAAGCCCAGGTGTGTGTGTGTCCCTGCTGGAGTTGTATTGTCAGCTCAAATTGAATCTAATTTATGGAGTGAACCATTTCACTCCTGTCATGAGTAAATCATTGTCTCAGACTTGCAGCCACAGAAAACTCAACAAGTAGCCGGAGGAAGCTTCACTAGAGCAGACGGAGCCAACAGTGAAAGCAGCAGGGAGGGAAACTGAGCTCTTCATCACAGCCCACAGTCCTAAAATTCAGTTGAGGGATTTCTCCCCCTTTTTTTTTTTTCAACATTTATCTTTTCCCTGTCTGTGCTGACTTTTAAAATGAAGGGAGACCTCCAAATAATTGTCTGGCTACCTGCCAAAGTCGAGTTTACATGCTTACAGGCAGAATAAATCCCTGCCAACATTTAGCTGCAGTTTGCTGGTAGCGGTGTTTGGTGGCTCTTGATAACCTCCCACTCAGAAATCTGCTTGGAACGACGGGGAGAATCCCCCAGGGACCTGCTCTGTCCAATGCTTTGGCATATTTAAAAAAACACTCAGCGGTTGGCAGTTTGAGAATGAATGATGAAGAGAGGCAGAAATGTACATTTGGGATTACTGTCAGGCTGTGGCAAAAGAAAATGTGCCTTTCTTGCCAGGCAGGTTGAGGTTGGCATAACCAGACAGGACATGTGATTCCTCTCATTCCAGTTCAGCGCTTCATATTAAAAGCATTGCAGTGTGGGGGAAAAATGGGACTCCAGTTCAGATGTAACCAAATTAGGATTGATTCTATTTCTGACTGCAGTGTGATCAAAGTTCTGTTGCCTGACCTCTGTTTAATTCCCTGATTGGTTCTTTAAAAGACTCTTTTTAGTTGAGTCCATTAAACAGAAATTGTTGGCAGTTTTGAGCTCTGACTTGGAATAATCGTATCCACTATGAACACTTCCTTCTCAACAGCTTCTGCTGCATTATGCTCACTGCGACTATGAGTGTAGTGCAGCTATTTCGTATCTGAATGTTGTATTTTTAATTTTAGAGGAGCTTCACCATTGCAGACAGACACTGTTCTCATGAACATAGTGGAGCATTAAGTAACTAAAGAGCCAGATATTTTCCTCAGTTCTCCGTAGATAACCATAAAATAAATCTACAACAGGCTATTTAACAAAAATTTAACCAGTTGTTATGTTGTTGTTTGTCTCTTCAGGACAGATTGCCTTGGCTTCTCAAACTACATGAAGTCATTGAGAGGTAAGCATAAACAAACCTTTCATACACACAGGTTATTATGCACACTCACATGAACATTTTGCAAGAAAACACAACATACTTTTTATAACGACAGAAATGGAGAAGATGATGGGTTTAGAGGGTGAGCTGAAGAGCGGAGCAGCGAGGTAAGGAAATGCGACCGTGAAATTGTCGGGAAAAAAAAGATCAAAAATATCAAAGATGGTTCTGAAAATTGAGATGAAAACCAGAAAGCGAGGAGAGGGAGTTGGGGAGAGTAGAGACAGATTAAGTGAGTGAGAGTATAGAGAAGAGGTGAGGGAGAACTGAAACGTATGCCATCTCTTTCTTAAAACGACAACATCAAAGACTTTTTTCCTTAACTCTTCCACACTCAGTTACACACATTTTTCTCTATTAGTTTGTCCTCATATACCGTCTTCTCTCTTCTCCTCAGCTGTTTGTGACCAGAGCTCACTTTAAGTTTGTTTCCCCACTGTTTTTAACATCTTCCTTGTCATCCATACAACATTTCAGTGGAGAGCTCAGCAGTTATGACTAATTCTTTCCTGCTCTTACTAACTATGTGTATATTTGTGTGTCTAATCATCCCAGAGTAAGGTGTTCAGGCTGTGATGCTCTCGTGGTGTGCTCCGCCCTGAAGCGCCTGTACAGACAGATCCTGCTCTATGGCTCCAAAGCCATCGCACCCTCTTCCCTTCCAGACAAAGAATTCCTGCCTCCCACCAGCCCTGATGTCTTTTTTCTCTTTCTGCATGGCAACTACGATCTCATTCACCAGAGGATGGTGGCCCGGAGGGGACATTACATGAAAGAAGGCCTGCTGCGTTCCCAGTTTGATGTTTTAGAGCCTCCGTCGGATGAGGAGAATGTGTTGCCACTGGACATCAGGAGGAGCATCCCTGATATGGCCACGGAGGTCGAGAAGCACATCACCAGCCTCAAGTCATCACCAATGCCTTAACCACCGCAGCAGGTCAAAAGAGATCTTCATCATCATCTTCATGTTCTCAAGTGTGTTCAGTTTTTAGCCATGCTAATAGCGTGGCTCTGGGGATAGTCCACCACTGCTCAACAACTATAAGGATTGCTGGAAGATGGTCCCTACGTGAATTCTCTTGACTTCTGTGATCCTCTTCCTCTAGCACCACCAGCCAGACAAAGTTTTCAAATTTTCAGTGTGATGTTCTTTGGTGACTTTTCACCTTCAGTACATAATGAAGAAGATAATCTGTATGATCTTGTGGTGCATTTGTGATTCTAAAAAAAACTGCTGCTGGTTAGCTGAAAACATTTCAGAGCCCAAGAGCCATTTCAATATAAGCTGTGAGTGTTGGATAGTGCAAAGGTTTGAATTGTGACCAAAAAGTTGTTTTTTTGTGAAATAAAATTTAGGTTAGACATTTTATATCTGAAGTTTTGGAATCCTGAGTATTGTTTTTACTTTTATTTTATGTTTGCATCACATGCAGACATTACCACAACACCGGGAGCTATGGTTGCAACTATCTTCATTCATTTCATTAACTATTAGTATGCCAATTATTTACATAACTTACATATTATTAACTTACCTTACTCAATTTATTGATTAATCCTTTGGTCTATAAAATATGACAATGGTAAAGTGTCTGGCCACTGCTTTATTTGTACAGTTAATCTTAATGTATCAAAGTTATGAGTGCGCAACTTTTCCATTCATTTTTGAATTGTCTGTCACAGTCCAAAACTAAAAAATATTTAGTTCACAATCAAATTAAACAGGCATGGGATGCTGGAACTAGGGGTTGCTAGCTAAGTATTGCTTTTAAAATGACAAATGATTAATGGATTATCAAAATAGATGCCTATTAATTTTCTGTTGATAAACTAATTGTTTCAGCGATATAGGAAACCCATTAATATTTCAGAAAATAAAGCTTTTATTAATCCCTGAAGAGTAAACTTTTAAATGTGTATAGTTTGGAAGAATCCCAGGCCTCTTTCAGCTAATGGTAAAGATTTACCACTTTTCAAACTCTCTTAACAAATTCTACCTCACCATTTGTTTTGTTTCAGATGAATCCAGATCTTTCTGTTTTCTCTCCTCTGCTCTTGAATAGATTTTCAAAAATTGAAGCTGCTTTGCTGGAGTTTCTGAGAACTTAGCAGCAAATGGATTAATTTAGCTGCAAGCTACTGTAAATCTTGTTTTTGCATCATTTGATCCGTCACACCACCTTTCATGCACCAACATCACCTGCCAATGCACCAGCCGATCTTAGTAAAATCCTCACACTGAATAATATAAAGTAAGAGGAATAAAGGGCTCTAGCTTTAACACGTTGCTGCTGCGAGGCATGTTCGATTAGGTTGTTACCATATTAAAGGTCAAATCAGGTCAAGACTGTGTGATCCCTGTTTCCGGATCAATAAGCATCTTCAGAAGACACACACACGTGACCATGACCAAGACACCCCCTGGCTCTCTGCCAAACACCTCTGTTTTTGTGGTGTGACTCATCTCCAAACCTCAATGTTTTTTTCAATATTTTAGCTACCTTCTAATGCAACCCCCCCCCCCCCAAGGTACTTGCATATCTCACACATCCAGATGAACAGTTGCACGCACACCGCTAGGGATTAAAACCCCCTCAGTCTGGCAGCAATTTACAAACACACACACAGATGTTGAAGTATGTGTCATGTGCGTCAGTTAATCCACAAAAGCAGGAATGGAAAACAGAGTGCAACCATCTCACACACACATACACACCCTAAAAGGAAAGGAAAATAATATGAGAGTAACAAAGTATCAAAGTACAACTTTCACTGTTCAAACAAGTGTAACTGCCCTCTAGTGTTCATAGTGGAGTAGATGTAAGTAGTGCAGAGAAAAAAAAAATACTTTAAAAAGTCTGATTTCAATCACTAATAATAACTCATTTTGATGAGTAAAGGATTTTCGCTCAAATTCTGGGTTGGATTATATGAATAAAAATAGTAACACGTGTATAATAAATGACCAGGCCAGTTTGCTTTTGACTTTATTGATGATCACTACACCAACTCTGTGTACAACATTAATATGTGTTTGCAGCTTCTCAAATGTAGTAATCTTGACTGTAGGAAGTTGTGATAGAGATTTTCCCCAATTCTCTTACAATTTATAGGCTAAAATTACAATTATTTTAATCATAAATGAAAAATACCTGCAGATTAATTGATAATGAAAATAATACACAAAAAAAGTCAATAACAGAACAGCATTCAACTGTTTTGCTGATAACATCAGATCCACAAGTCAGCTAGATGAGTGAAAGAGTGAAATTCAAAGGGATACAAAGTGCAGCCACTCCTTGGAATGGTGTATTTACTGGAGATAGGTTGAATATAAGCTTAAGTATTACTTGTCAGTGCAGTGAATGGTATTTAGGTTCAAAGGGTTTGTAGGAACAGCCTCACCAATGTAAATAAAAAGTAAATCATCATAATCATCATAGGTTGTGTTGTAAGTTCCAAAAGGGTTAAAATCTTTTTTTCCCTCAGTTTTGGACTAAATTTTTTTCAGTCCTGATTGAATCTTTCTCCTCAGAGAGTGTGTTGAGAAGATTAACTCTGCAAATCAGAATTTCTGTGCCTGTGTGAGCACTTTTGGCTGTGCACAAAGTCAACCTCACCATTTTCCACACCTCAGCCGCATCTACCTTTAGAGACAGAAACTTTATAATGATCTGGTGTTTCTGATCTTTACAGCACAAGAGCAGCAAGGGAGGGCAGGAACAGCACACAACAGATCCTCCGTGTACTTCCGGGACATCTGACTGACATCTGTCTCTACATGTTTCAGGCTTTCCTTATTGTCCAGGTGGCAAGATGAAAAGAGCCTGAGCTTCATAGCGTTGCACAGAGATTAATAATACATGACCTGCCTCTGAATATGTTTGCAATTGCTACAAGTCTACGTATATGAGGTGGATTGGAGTACCTGCACGGATCTGTACCAGTGCATGTCACTGCAGACTGAAGTTAGTATGGTGAGTTAAGGAACTTTGAAAGTGCAGCAATATAAATATGGCTAGCATGTCTCTGATGTTCATTTTTAGTGTAAAGCACACATTATCATTAACAATGATAAGTTTATTATTATTATTATATTTAAGTGTCTGTGCATTCACTTACGTATGTATATGTGCACAGATCAACATCTGTGTGCGTGTGTGTCAGAGACTGAGCAGTTGTACAGCAGTGGTGAAATCTCCTCCTGTGCTGATGAGGGCCTGAAGATTCGCCTGTCTGTCTCTAAAGCCCATTGAGCTCAGCTGCTCCAGCTCCTCCTGGAACTCGGCCTCATCGCTACGGACCTGACAGGACATGACATGACAGGAGGGTTATTTAAAGTCTTACTTGTTACAATAACACGATCAAAACGAATCAGTAAACAGGTCCTTGTGCCTCTGGGAGTGAAAATGTGCTATGTGTCTCTCCCCTAATTTGTCATTCACTCTAAATAAATAAGAAAAAAATTAAGAAACAGAATGAACTTTCAGGAGATCTTGCAGTATAATTTGTTCGATTGAGCAGCATACAGTATACTTTTTTTCTTATATGACTGCTCTGTACCACACAAAAGTATGTGGGAACCACGGGTAGTAGCACTGACTCCTGTTTTACTCACAAACTTTAAAGAGTAACTCAACACTAGATTTTGGAAGAAAGGTAAAACATAGCTGCAGTGGCTTCTACAGGTTTAAAGGTATAAATCTCTTGCAACTCTGACCACAACAAACATCACAACTGGATGTGTCCAGATGTGGTGTAACATGGTTCTAACGATAGATCAATAACAGAAGCAGAAAACAAGGTTATAAGGAAACATTTAGATACCCTATAATTGCTGTTAGCCAGTGCCTGTAGCATCTGTTGTACAAACTGCTGCTGCTGCTGCTCTGTCACCGTGGCAACCCCGGGACCACTTCCTGATTGGCCGTTAAGGACAGGGTCGGATGCTAGCTCAGGGGAGGCATTAACACTGTCTCCAGTGTTTCCGAGCCCAGCCCTGCAAGACAGATATGTGGTTTGCATAAACGTTTAATCCAGATTCTACCGAGAAACTAAACCGATCTTGTGAGTAATCTTCAGGTTGAAATCTACAGTGTGTGTTTGTTTTGTGTATTTATACTGACGTTGGTATCAGTGCTGGAGCCTCTGCAGCAAGAGTCTGTAGGGCCTGTTGGATCTGTAGCAGAGCTTCCATGGCTCTGGGGTTCAACATGGCTGACAGCAGCTCTGGACTCTGCATCTACATATTTATTATTCATTAATACTGAAGAAATTAATAAGAAACAATAAGCACTGGCGTTTGAGTGGAGACTGTGTGGAGTGTACTATGGAAGACTACAAGTAAATGAAGAATGTCTCATACACAAGACATTTTGCTTAATGTTGAGCAGATTATGATACTGTAGGTGATCTAGTTTCAAGAAGTGATAGTGTTTAAATGTGAGGAGAGTAAACGAACCTGTTGCAGGAAGAGAGGGATCTGCTGTCTCATCTGCTGCTGCAGCTGAGGATTTCCTGAGAACAAAGGGTGGCTCAGCAGCATCTGAAACAGTGTGAAAATGTGAGCCGTATGGGCTGTAAGCCCTCTGTAGGATTTGGGTGGAGATTGTGTGGAGAGATTATGCGGATATGTTAACAAGAAGTGGGGTGGTGTTGTAGCCCGGTTCCACACCTCTGAATTGCAGTCCATATGATTCAGACGCTAATACGTTGCAATCTTAAAAATAACTAAATGGTTGGGAAGAATGTGCAATGTCAAGTGAAAGAAATAAGTGATCTGGCTGCCTGTCACGTGTTCCCTGCTATGCATGTTTATGTGCTTGCATCCACCCATAAATTGTGTATGCGTCACCTGTGCAGCCAGGTCAGGATTCTGGCTGAGGCAATTCAGAAGACTACTGACGTACGGCCCAGACAGCAGGCTCTCCATCAGTCCTGGACTGGATGTGATCTCCTCTAGCAGTGACTGCATTCCTGAGGAAAGTGGGAGGAGTGCACAGATACAAGATGAAGAAAAGCAGGGAGAAATATATATTTATAGTTATAGTTTAGCCAATTAAAACTGATGACCTCTTTCTTGGTTTGTTTTCGAGAAGATGGCAGTGAGTACCAGTGCCTTTAAAAGAACTAAGAAATACATCAAAGGACAAAAAACTGAAAAAACCTGAGTAGCATCCATGTGCATGATTGTGAGTTTGCCAGATTGGTTCGATTACCCAGCTATCCCATCCCTTATGGGCATGAATTTCTTAATTAGTGTAGTTAAACTGTGTGAATTTGTATTTTCGTGCCTGCAGTGCTCTGAGGGTTTGGATCAGATCCAGACGTGGCGGTCACTTCTCTGAGAGGATCTGTGGAGTGAGCAGAGAGGGTTGGAGTCTGCTCGCTTTCTCTTTCAGTTGGCTTTTGATTGCCAGATGATGCAGTCACTGCCGGGGGCACTCCTATCTGGATCTGACACCACAAACAACAGGTTAAAAACCCAAGATTAGTTTGACACTATCTGAACAGATCAGGAAAACATTATTTCCAAACCTATACCTGTGATAATTTGAGACTTTTTGTGTCTGTCTTCTGAAGGCCATCACAATCACCAGTGATGGTTTCAGGGCTGTCCTGCTCTGGCGGCAAATTGCCAAATACTCTGTCTTTATTACGCATCACTTTCTCTATCATGTCAGGGTCCCTGGCGAGCTCCAACACCTGAAAAGGGAGACAAGTTTAAGAAGATGTTGAACATATGGGTCGGAGAAATTAGCCAAGGAGGTCCTAACTATGTTCAAGTAGCAGTTGTCAAACTGCTATAAGTAGTATCTTGGTACAGTGGGGCATTTTTGCATGTACACAGTATAATGCTGGCAGTTCTTTGGCACACTAAACCACTCACAACTTGGAACAAACCTGTACCTCAAACACACACACACACACACACTTTTATCCCCACCTGTGTGATGACGTCTGTGTTGTTAAGCATATCTCCCACCTCGGGGTTAGTTTGCAGGAGCTGCTGAATTTGAGGATTAGACAGAATGAGCTGTCTGGTTAGTTGAGGGCTGGAGGTGGAGAGGGTGCTCTGCACAAAGGGGCAGCCCAGGACATGGCGCATCATCTCTGGGTCAGCCAGCAGCTGGCTCTCCATCTGGCGCTGGAGCGTGGGGAAGAAGCCACGTCCGCTGTTTGATAGGCCAAGACTGTCCAGACCTTCCACTTTGGAAACAAGATCAGATCCAAAGAACAGAAGTATGTAAGCCCAGACAGAGAGAAGAGGAATTTTTTAAATTAGAAACATAAATAAAATGTGAGATTTGAAGTATGAGGAAAAGGTAGAAAATAATTGGAGATGAGGGGAGTTCTTGTGTTGTGCAGTTCTTACCCAGGCAGAGGGGAGAGGTGGGAGATGGTGTGACGATATCAGGGTTAGGATCCAGAATGGCTGTGAGCTCTGACGGGACCACTTCTGAAGCTGGATCACGGGTGGGTGCAGCAGACGACTGCTGAAGCCTGAGAGGGATGGACTGAATGTGAATATAGAGTTCCAGGACTGTGGTGAAAAAAACTGCGTATGTATGTGTAGGGGAAGTTTTGGGGCTCAAGTGGAATTTGATGCATTATCTGGGAGTCTGATGATTCTGTGTAACAATCATAGGATTTAATTTGCCCATTATATAAAAATATTACTGAATTTAAAACCATTTGAGGGTAAATATGTTTACACAGTAAATTAAAGGCGAATACCATCCATTTTTTCATTTCCATTTGTTAGTGTGACCCATAACAGATAACAAATGAAGGAACTGAATATGGTGCTAACTTTGTTGTGTCCAGATGAGCTTTAAATTCTGGTTTAAATCTGTTGCAACAATATAAACTTAATTTTATTCTGGTAGTGCAACATGGAGTTCTTCTACCAGTCTGTCTCACAGGACATGACAGAAATGACCACACCATCATTGTTAATGTATGATTTCTATAATTAGGCAAAAGTGGTCCTGGTTTACAAACATTGACTTCACAAAGGTAAAGTGACTTATTTCAAAAGGAGTCCTCCTAGTCATCCTTGATGTAGATTACTAAAACACACAGTATACTATTTCAGCCACATAATGTACAGTACTGTAAAATATATAATCTCTCTGATGACAAACGAGTAATTTCCAGAAATGTTTCTGTGTACCTTTGGATCATGCACAGGCTGACTGAGCCATCTTGTGCTTTAAGGTGACTCAGGAGTTCTGACTCTCTGAGGATCCGGCCGGAATGGATCAGCACGAGTCGATCTGCCGGGACTCCCAGGCGCTCTGCTAGACCCCATTTCAGCTGCGCACACGCAGACACACACACATACACACGCACACGCACACAAAAATCACGCTTTAGTCATTATTTTTCACATTAGTCCACAGCTCAAGCTCAAATCGTGCCAGTCCTACCCACACAGCAACCCAAGTGTCAACCCAGATGTCCTGACCTGTCTGGCAGTGCAGCCTCTTTCAACGGTGAAGTCTTTGCTCTCCGTGAGACTTCTGACGGTAACGTGGATCGTTTCAGACCTCTGACTATCACTCGGTGCTCTCGGTTCGTTTCTCACTGCGTCTGACATCTCGGTCCTCTGACGAAGATGACGATAAGCGGATCTGGAGAGAAGCGCACAGTCCCGGGAAGGAGGCGCGTGTCTGTCCCGATGACTCGGCAGAAAGTGGTGTGGACACCAGCTCTGACCCGACTGCGCAGGGTGCTCCTGCAGCTCATTATGTTTCCGTTTTCAATGTAGTTTTTTTTTGTTGTTTTTTTTTGTTTTAACAGGAGTGCCACTGTCTAATTATTATATAACCAACTTAAAAACATTGTAGGCTACCCTACACAACAAAATTAGTAATTATCATCGGCAGTTCTAATACTAGGCAATATGCTCTCAGATTTATTTTTTTTAAAAATCCTTCTAGATGTTTTCACAGCTTCAGAAAAATCATATTATCCACATTTTTACAAAGTGGCAGTACTATATGGGTCCAAAAGTCAAATATAATAATAAGTAGGTAAGATGTGGTTTGCGTGTTGCGTGTAGGCTACTGTGCAAAAGATGTGTGTGGGAATGCTTTCAAAAATTGACCGATATAGTTAATAGATGATATTTATCAGTTAACAAAATGCAAAGTGAACATCAGAAGAAAATATAAATCACATCAGTATTAAACTATCTAAACAGCATCAATTCTTCTAGTTACACTTGCAGACAGCTTTTGAAGGAACTCGGCAGGTATAGGTTGGTCCAGATATCTTGTAGAACTACCCTCAGTCCTTATGTGGATTTAAGCAGCCTTAGTTGCTTCTCTCTCTTCGTGTAATCCGAGACAGACTTACTTTTTGTTGAGATCAGGACTATGTGGGGGCCTTACCATCACTGCCAGGACTCCTTGATCTTCTTTAAGATGGAGATTGTTCTTGATGACTTATGCTACATGTGTGGGGCCATCTTGATGCTGCCAAATAAATTTGGGGCCAATCAAATTCCTCCCTGATCGGACTGCACGATGGATAAATATCTGCCTGTACTCAGCATTGAGGAGACCATTCACAACTCCATTTACAGACATGCAGCCCCAAACTTGCAACAAACCTCCACAATGTTTCATTGTTGCCTGTGTGACATCAAAATGTGTGACCTATCAGATTCTGTGACCCAAATGGCAAGTTAAGCGCCAGAGGCTTTATTGACGATGTGAAGCGGTTGCAATTTGGTTTGGTTTAGGCACCAAAAGTACTTGGTTATGGTTAGGAAAACATCGTCGTTAGGAAGCATGATGTTTCTGCTGTCTGCTGCAGTAAGTTTCTTTGGCCAACCACCACTGCGTCTACGGTCCTTGGTGTTGCCCGTTTCTTTGTGCTTCTTCAAAAGAGTTTGGACAGCACATCTGGAAACCCCCCTATGCCTTGAAAGTTCTGCCTGGGAGAGACCTTTCTGATGCAGCATAACTACCTTGTGCCTGGCGCTGTGCTCAGTCTTGACATGGGTGGATGACTTTTGACATTAAACTGTCTTCAGCAGCCTCACAATTTTACCTGAGTTTGGCTGTTCCTCACCCAGTTGTATTACTCCTACACAGCTGTTTCTTTCAGTTAAGGATTGTGTTTCAAACTACATGAATTGGTGATTATTAGTAGTAGTATATGTAGTATATCAAACAAGCTGTTTGATATAATTGTTTAATCACACACCGGACGCTATGACTACAAAATCCCAGACTTTGTGCATGTGGACCTAGAAAAATTGATGCCGTTTTAAAGGCTAAGGTCACACCAAAGATTGATTTGATTTTTCTTCTAGACACTCCGTATTTTATTAATTGATTAATATGAACTATAAAAATGTATTGTTTTGAAAGCATTCTTACTTTACAGCTCCCTACTTTTTTTTTTTGCTAAAGTCCTTGTCCTTTCTTTGCAAAATGTCATGCGCAGCTACATATCTTCTTACAAATTAGCACATTAGTGGGATAAGAAGAGGGGAGAATAATGAAACATAGTGATGTAGACATAATCAAGTACGAGAACTCCTCCTGATACAGAGTAATCAAATAAATATCAACCATGAAGTTTAAAAACTTGAGCCCACAGTGGCTCGGAGTAAACTACACCAAAAAGGAACATTCATTGTGTCAGTAAAAATATTTATCTAGGCTTTTAGCTCTGTAACATCTATATTTAATGCAGCACTTAACATGCAGGCTTCTTAGAATTTTATTATACATAACATCAGTGATATTAATTACAAGCCACCAGATGTCACTGTTTGTAAAGTAAATGTTCTTTGTCAAATAATGAATTCAGAGTCCTGAAGAACAGATGTACATTTGCCAACTAAACATTAATTCTGTGAACTCGAGTCCAGCATAGTGTAATAAATATAGGTTTCAAGTTTTGCAATGCTTTTACACCAAATTCTATCTACCCTACCTGTGATATGCAACTTAAAAATTGTAACATCCGGCAATTTTTGCCTCTTTTTAAGTGGCGAGAGTGAAAATATGTCATCCTCAACATTCGTTGTGTGATGATTTCACAATGATGAAGACAGTTGGAGAACAAAACAACTAAATACAAAATAAGATGTAGGCTCTACAGGAAAATTTATTTCCTGGGCAACTATCAGGTTTTTCCCAAATGACATATAGATATTTAGGCTATTATTTCGAACAGTTTTACAAATAGAGCATATAGCTGCTGTAAATGGGAGAAAAAAATCTCCCTGGGACAGTACACCCACAGAATACCCTAGGTTTCAGCTAAGCCCCAAATGTTTACATCTGCCTCCACCCCGGTTGGAGGGGGGCTTTAAGAAAACCTCTTCCTAGATCATACTTTTGTCAGAGAGCTTATCCTGATTTTATTTTCTTTAAATAGTCTTTTTCTGTTTCCAAATCTTTATTTTATCTTACATTACCAGAAATCATTTGTTTATCAAAAAAAATCTCGTAATTTTTATAATTTGTAGATTTTTAATTTGCTGCTTTGTGTGAAGCACTTTGTAACTTTGTTTTTGAAAAGTGCTCTCTATGATGATTATTATTAAAGTTTGTAGTGCCTGCAAGTCATGGACAGGTAATTTCTTTAATGCCCAGTGTATAATATTTAGGAGGATCTAATTCACAGAAATGCAATATACATAACTGTGTGGTGTATAAAGACCCTACATAATGAACCATTATATTTTTATTACCTTGATTATTACCTATGACCCATTTTTATCCACATACACAGCGGGTCCTCTGATATGGAAGTCTCCATGTTGTGCAGCCATGTGTCTACAGTAGCCCAAACAGACAAACTGCTTTACAGAGTGCATTTCGTCACTATGTTGAATACGTACAGATAAGTAGTCTGGTTTGTTAGAAGTAAGATGTGTGAAATTTGGACAAATGGAGGACCACACGTATTATTTAGCACAAGAGCCGACGTGGCGTGTCAGACACCGAAGCTTCTTGGAAATGTAGAGGTGAGTGCTAGCTGAGTCGTTAGTTGCAAGTGGCAATCCTCACCACTAGATGCCACTAAAACGTACACACTGAACCTTTAACTACAAATATTAAAAAAAACAAAAAAAACAATGTTTTTTCACTGAAAAAGTATTTTATTTACTTAACAGTGACAAAAACAAACATTTCACATCTGTCATTTCAGCAATACACCCCACAGACAGCTCAGGCACACGGCCCTCAACAGTTAGATGAGCCTGCAGAGAGCAGCCCTCTGTGCCAAGCCACCAGTTCAACACAAACTTTAAACTTAATAATTTTCAAAAGCTTCTGTATTCTTGTTCAACTGTGTAATACTTTCTGCTATGTCTGGAGTGTGTCCTGTGTGTGTGTGTGTGTGTGTGTGTAATTACGGGGGCATGCATTATATGCTGACATGAGTCAAAGCAAAAAAGAAAGAAAGAACCCTGATTGTGATCAGTAGCGTTTTTCTTCATTTGTTCATTTAATTTTGCTTTTAAGGTCTTTTCCTTTTGAAACCTTCATAGATCTGTCTCCGAGCCTTTCTTCCCTTTCTTGTTTCCCTGCCAACAAGAAAAGCCCAGAAAGTATACAATTATTTATAACATAAGTATGACAAAGTATTGTATCCGCTCAAGTTAAAAGATACGTAGTGGAAAAAATATTAAATAAAACCCACATTTTTTACTAGTTTAAGTTTCACTAAACCTTAAAAAAATAAAATGAAATGCTCCAAGGCATTATTAAAGTTAACTTAAACTAAGCTTACTTTGACCCTGACTTCAGCTGGGTATAGTAATAAAATACATTGTACTCTTATCATTGAAATTCTGTGCTGTGTCTGTTCTGTTCTTACACTGTAACTTCTCTCACCGCACCTGACTTACTGGCTGCCTTTTCTCTGGTCTACACACAGGGAAAGAATGAACATGCATGCAAGTGCATACACCCGTGTACACACACACACACACACACACACACACACGGCTTCTCATTGGGATCATTTGAACTCACCTGATGTTTTGGTTGATCTGACTGCAGACCTTTGACTTTAGACCTTTCTTGTTCAAGGGCAGCGTGTAGTAACGTTACCTTAGAAACAAACAAGTTTTTTAATCAAATGCAGACAAATGTAGAAATATCTCACTCACTCATTTTCCCCTTGCTTAATGTTTATGCAACACACCTGTGAGGACAGTTCTTCTTTTATGTGTAGTAGCTCTTCTACATGTAGAAGGATTTCTGCTTTATCTTTCACTGAAGGGGGGAGGTTAGAAACGTCACAGAACATCAGACAGATCACATTAAATCTCCATCAGGAAAGAAAGAAACGCAAGACTTCAAGTGTAATTATGCTCAACTCACTCTCTCCCTGTTGGAGCATCTTAAGCAGCTGGGAATTTCTTGCTTTCACCTCTTTGTATTTGACCTGTAGAGTTGAAGAGCAAGAACAACAGGCAGACCGTGTGGACAAAGTGGTTTAAGCAGTAGACACGTTTATACATTTCTTTCAGACTGGAAACCTGTCACTACTGGAGTACACAGCCTCCATGATTTGAGAGAGATCACTCTAAAACATTTCAAGTTCACAGGGAAACAGAGGTTGATACTCAACAGATGGTACTTTCTTTCTCACCACCTCATCTCAGCCATTTCTTGCACATTTTATCATGTCCTCATTTTCTTTTCAGTAAATCATTACCTGTCACTTAAAAAAGGCTGCAGTCTACAGCAGCAAATGGGCAGTTCTGATCCTCTGACAACAGATTAAAGTCTTAGTGTGTCCACCAAAGAGTTTTTTACTGAGGCCTTTTTTCAATTCATTGCAATGGGAACACAGTGTTTGAGATGGTAAAAATGCCAGCTGTGTGACGAGGTGCTGAGCGTCTTTTCCACGCTGCCCGTTTTTTGCCCAGTCACCAAGAGTTGAAAAATGCTCAACTTTAGGAAAAATGCAGTGCTCACTTTTTAGCCAGCCGCCCAATCACAGTGCAGTAAGGGCGGGACAAACACCACACCGAGCCATCTCAGCTCTTGAACGAAACCATGTGCCTCCTCGCGGAGTTATTTCAGCACATCACCTCCACGGATATTATGTATCATAGCAACTAAAGCGTCTCAGCCGAAAAAAACGCTGCGCCTCCAAAGCGCACCCTAGCACTCCCAAGTAGCCGTTTTCAGAAGAGCAGGTGGCTTTTTCAGCTGATAAACGCTTTGGTGGACACAGGCCCTTTTTAGTTTTATTTAAAAATATGATCATAATTGCATGTCAATTGTGTGTCCTCAAATAACTTGTTAAAATACATGAGTCTACAGATATATTTGTATGCAATATGTGATAAATAGATATTTCTGGCAGATCAGTGTGAAATTATAGAATGACGTGGAAACTGCTCATACTGCCGACCTCCCACTGCGAGATGGTCTTCTTTAGCTTAAGGATTTCCTGGTCTTTCTTCTCCAGCTCATACTTCAGCTGCTCTGCTCGGGGGTCCTAATGGGAAGGACAGGGAGAAAAGAGCAAGTTATATTCAATAAATGTTGGATTTTATTCACTTGAAACATACACGAATTAGGAATTATTTTTTATTAAGATGTTTATTTTGTTGAGGAAAAAGGACTGGAAAAAGCTTGTACTTGAGTTTTTTTTACTTATATTTACACGTGCATTGTGTCCGGGCGGCTGTGGCTCAGGAGTTAAAGCGAGTTGGCCGTTAATCGGAAGGTTGGTGGTTCAATCCCCGGCTCCCCCATGCTGCATGTCGAAGTGTCCTTGGGCAAGATACTGAATTCCGAATTGCACCTGGCGGCTGTTCCACCAGTGTATGAATGTGTGTGAATGTTAGTTTCTGTTTGAGCACTTAGGCTCAGTGTATGAATGTGTTTGACTGGTGAATGCAGATGTAGTGTAAAAGTGCTTTGAGTGGTCAAAAAGACTAGACTTCTAGAAAGGCGCTATACAAATACGGAGCATTTACATATTTTTTGACAATGTTTTGAATGCTCAAATCCTCTGGTTTGTGAAGTTATCCACTGTTTGGCCTCAAGTGTTGCCCATAAAGAAGAGTTTAAACCACAATTAACCAACAGGTTTCTTCAACTAACTCACTCAGAAGCAAAAATCAGCCTTTAAACTCGAAAGAAATAACAATTTGAGACTTATCGTGAAAATTATCGATATCGAAAGATATGAAACTTTTTATCGTGATAACGTTTTTGGCCATATCGTCCAGCCCTACGTTAAGTGTGAAATAGAGAGAGACAGGGTACCCCCAGGATTCTCAAATGTAAATTTAAGACTTTTTAAGACCACCTAGGATTAAATTTAATACCAACTTCACTGCCGTTTAATGGGAAATCTGTATTAATTTTAAGCTCGAGAATATTATTAAGGAAGTTACATGAATTTAATAAAACATTTTATTATAATACGTTCATACGTTTAACACATTATAGCTTTTTGGGGTGTGTTTGTACTTAATAAGATAACTTGATAAGATAAAATGAATCAAGGACGTCGCTTTGTGTTGAAAAGTGGTGGGGACATAAGGGTTCAGATTAGGAGTGTGACAAAACTCTTAGCTTACATGCACAATTCACAATATTGGGTTCACGAGAACAAGGCAAGAAGATATTTTAACACTATTTGATAAAATATTCAATGCTGAAATATATTTAAATGGGGGTCTGGGGGTCCCCTAGGAAATTTTGAGTACTAAACACTTAATTTCCTGCATTCTGGAGACATTTTCTGCACCAATTTATGGTAGAATTGTCTTTATGTAAATAAAGTGATTCAGATTTTTTTAGCTTTTTTAGCTTTATCTTTAAAATGCATTGCATGTTTTCTTATCGTGCAAATAAACCTTTCTCAAAGTATTTATTTGTTTTTTTAACATTTCTTGTTGCAAGCCATTTTTCAGAACATATCCACAGTGTAAATGACACCTACGAAATGAATACAATATTTGTGCACTCTTAAGGGGTGAAATCAAAAATAACAAACAAATTGTGTGGTATGAGTTACACCTTGGCTAGGTAAGGTAAAGTACTATATTATGCCAATTGCTTCAGTGATTATTCATCCTGTTCTGTTTTTCTAAAGCATCTAAATGCTGCTTGAAATATACACTGCTCAAAAAAATGAAGGGAACACTTAAACAACACAATGTAACTCCAAGTCAATCACACTCTTGTGAAATCAAACTGTCCACTTAGGAAACAACACTGATTGACAATCAATTTCACATGCTGTTGTGCAAATGGAAAAGACAACAGGAGGAAATTATAGGCAATTAGCAAGACACCCCCAATAAAGGAGTGATTCTGCAGGTGGTGACCACAGACCACTTCTCAGTTCCTATGCTTCCTGGCTGATGTTTTGGTCATTCTTGAATGCTGGCGGTGCTTTCACTCTGGTGGTAGCATGAGACGGAGTCTACAACCCACACAAGTGGCTCAGGTAGTGCAGCTCATCCAGGATGTCACATCAATGCGAGCTGTGGCAAGAAGGTTTGCTGTGTCTGTCAGCGTAGTGTCCAGAGCATGGAGGCGCTACCAGGAGACAGGCCAGTACATCAGGAGACGTGGAGGAGGCCGTAGGAGGGCAACAACCCAGCAGCAGGACCGCTACCTCCGCCTTTGTGCAAGGAGGAGCAGGAGGAGCACTGCCAGAGCCCTGCAAAATAACCTCCAGCAGGCCACAAATGTGCATGTGTCTGCTCAAACGGTCAGAAACAGACTCCATGAGGCTGGTATGAGGGCTCGACATCCACAGGTGGGGGTTGTGCTTACAGCCCAACACCATGCAGGACGTTTGGCATTTGCCAGAGAACACCAAGATTGACTGCCATTAGGTACCGAGATGAGATCCTCAGACCCCTTGTGAGACCATATGCTGGTGCGGTTGGCCCTGGCTTCCTCCTAATGAAAGACAATGCTAGACCTCATGTGGCTGGAGTGTGTCAGCAGTTCCTGCAAGAGGAAGGCATTGATGCTATGGACTGGCCCGCCCGTTCCCCAGACCTGAATCCAACTGAACACATCTGGGACATCATGTCTCGCTCCATCCACCAACGCCATGTGCGGATGCTTTAGTCCAGGTCTGGGAGGAGATCCCTCAGGAGACCATCCGCCACCTCATCAGGAGCATGCCCAGGCGTTGTAGGGAGATCATACAAGCACGTGGAGGCCACACACACTACTGAGCTTCATTTTGACTTGTTTTAAGGACATTACATCAAAGTTGGATCGGCCTGTAGTGTGGTCTTCCACTTTGATTTTGAGTGTGACTCCAAATCCAGACCTCCACGGGTTGATAAATTTGATTTCCATTGATAATTTTTGTGTGATTTTGTTGTCGCCACATTCAACTATGTAAAGAAAGGAGTATTTAATGAGATTATTTAATTCATTCAGATCTAGGATGTGTTATTTTAGTGTTCCATTTATTTTTCTGAGCAGTTTTTTGCAGTAGTATTGGCTTGAAAGCAAAGGGGAAAAGGATTTGGGCTCCAGTTTGTATTTCCCTCGTTCTTGTGATTGGCACGTCTGGGTGATGTAAGTTTAATGTGCGTTAGTTTGATGTTTCCATTCACATCATGTTTGCCTACAACAGCGGCGCAAGACGACACACAGACATGGTCCTCGTCTCATACACACCTGTCTCTCTGTTGCTGTTGTAGCATTAACTGAGCAGTAACCTGCAGCGGGTCTTCCAGCTCTGCTGTTCCATTAGCGCTCGCCACAGTGTGACAGGTGTTGTGCCGAGTTCTGCCTGCCTGCCGAAAACTGCATGCACCTCGCGGGTGCTAACAGTAATTTATGCTGAGAAAAGAGGTGGATGCAAATCTCGGCAGGTAGCCTACAAAATTTCATCTGCCGAATTATGCATCCACCTCTTTAGGTCCTTGTCAGACACTTTGCTGTGCTCATTGATCAAACAGCGTTATCACCACATAGGCTATATTTACTGAATGTCAAGGAATGGTACTTCTACTAAGTGTATTAAAATATTAAAGACTCTAAACGTTCAATAAAATATATACTTTGAATCATTTATCACCATTGATGAAGAACATTATAGCATTTAAAAGCATTATTTGGAGGTGAATTCTCCGCAGGCAGGCAAAACTCGGCATAACACCCTCTCGCATGCCGATCAGCTTGTTGTGCTAACCTCACCGTCACTGCCCTCAGCCTCGTCCGCCAACTTGTTCGTATCTCTGGCTTTCTGAATTTCAGACACTTGCCCATTCTGACTCATCGAGCTAACGTTAGTAGCACGTCAGAGACGTTTTCTTTTCTAACAACTGACTGATTCGCACAGAGCTGGATGCCAGAGCTCGTGCACCGCGAACACTTCACAGTCCAGAGCATAAAGCTGAACACTGACGTGAACAGTAACGTTACCTGTACTGCCGTATACCATCAGAGTCACACCAAATGGAGTATATTATTAAGTCTCACACACACAAAGTATTCATTTATGACGTTACGGCATTAATTAAGTCCTACGAAAGGACAAGAAAAAATGTAAGACCTTGGTAAATGAAATGCAATACTTTGGTAATGAAATTTAAGACTTTTAAGGCCTTATTTTTGGAATCTGAAATTTAAGACTTTTTTAATACTTAAGACCCCGCGGGTACCCTGGAGAGAAAAAATAATAAATCAAAATGTGGTAAAAGTGTGTGAAAAGGAAATCCACCTCTGACTGTAGAATTTTAAGCTGTATAGCTGACAGGCCAGGTAAAAATGTTCATACCCGAGTCTAACAAACAGCTGGATGAATGTTTGTTCATGGGTGTGTTTTACCCGTCTGCTCACCGGTTCGTGTTCTGTGGACGTGCTGACTTCTTGTCCCTGGCTGTTGGAGTACTGCTCACGTCTCTTCTCCTGTTGGACAATCCGACTGACGTCATCCTCGAGCTTATTGAAAAAACGCTCCTCCTGCCCGACTGCCAATGCCACGTTAGCCGCTCTGGTGTCCTGGATGGCAATAAAGTCAGTTTTTTTTAATAGGGACGTGCCACACCATACATGACATTTAATCCCAAACCTCTGTGCATATAATTTACAGGCATTCTATATTTATATACGATAGGGATTAATAAGAGACTGACTTTCAAATGTGTTCCATTGATTTGACAAGAGTACAACTTTATGATTGGGGATAAAAAGATGTTTCGTTCACCTCTTTTTCTTGTTTCCTACTCAAATGTTCTGCAATAGAGACAAAGTACATTGACGTAAATATTATTTTGAGGAGCATGTTGAGCTATAGACTGCAGCCACACAAGATCCTAATTTAATGGCATTTGAAACGGATCGTTACGTTTCTCTCACCTGCACTGCCTTCAGCCTGGAAGTCCTGCAGTGAAACTGTCTTTTTGTCTTTTGCCTGCTGATTCTTCTTTTTTTCCTTTTTCCCTCCGCCCTCTTTTCCTCCTCGTGACTTTGGCGAGGAAGCGTTTGTGTTGTTGTGCTGAGTGAAAGCAGATTATATTACTTATAGTGAAGGTTCTTAACTTAGAATTACTATTTACAAAAAAATGGCACAGAATATGCACACATAGAGAAGAGAGCGTCACACACAATTTTTCTGTTATATTAAATCGCACACAAAGTCTTTCCCTGTAAAATGGCCTCCAGCTAAATTTCAGATGATGAATTTATAAGAGTGATGATTCAGCCTATTCATAATCACTTCACTTTTACAAGGAGAACTTGCAACTTCATCAACGGGAACACGAATGAATGGTTAACAGCCCAGTAAAACTGATACTGTAAAACTGATTCATGTGTACAAATCTTTCTACGCTGACCAGGCTATCTGCAAACTTTTTGAAATGAAATTGAAAACTTTAAGGCAAAATATGCAAAACCACATACAGAATTATGTAAATATAGTTAAAATGTTAAATGCAATTAACTGTGTTACACGTGGCATGAAACAAAGAGCTTTCTTTTAATTAGAATTTGCTTGAGATCCTTTAATTAGACAACAGAAATTTGTAAAAAGATAAAGCAATATGAAATACAATATTATTGCCCAGCCCTAATGCACATACTGTAAATACAGACAGGACTGTCAAAACTGAAGACTGAACACAGACAAGTCTGAAGTCAGGAGTCCAAAAGAGCCCGAGACTGAATCAAGAACCAAGCCAATAAAAACTTCTATTCAAAGACTAAGCTTTAATCGCAGTACTTTTTAATCCAGTTCTGTCAGAGTTAAATAACATTCAGGATTAGGAAACCATCAATGGTATAGTTTTTTCTGAAGTATTAGGGTGGGCAGTGCATTAAAATCTAGCTTTGCTTGCAAACATAGTCTGGTGATCATCCTCCAAATCCAGGTGACCATGGTGGTATTTGCAGCAATCAGCTGACTGCACCACAGTAAAAAACTAAACATAAATTACTTATTTCAGTTTGTCTAGTTGGTCAGGCTTTATGCCACCTTGCCTATACTGAGGCATCGGCTTATGAATGCCTATGAATGTTTCCTGTAGCACAACCTTTACTGAATCGTTGATTGTCTTAAGTACCTCCTGAATCCTGTTACCTTCAGAGAAAATCATAAAAACAGGTGGAGAAACGGGCCAAACATACTGAGGGCTAATATAAAATGGGAGAAAAAAAACTACTCGACCAAGAGCCAATTTATTTTGTATTTAAATATGTTGCGTTAAATCCTTCAGGTTGATGTGATTTCACATGGGTCTGCAACATCTCAAAATGAACATGTTTCATAATCAAAAAATTATAGAAATGTACCTGTTTATTTTGTTCAAACTCCAGTTTACTTAGAATCAGAGCCTTTTCCAAGTCGGCCTCATATAGCTCACTGGTCATCTACGGAGGGAGGAGGAAAACAGATGAGAAAGAACATCCATGTGAGACACGTGTTAGTGCTGTCTGTAAGGTCAGACATGAGCTGCTGGAAATACAGTTATATCAGGGAGAGACATACATTTCATGCATCTGCTCTCTAATGCCTGTAACACAAGATTTATGTCCTCCAACAAGTTTTCAGTAACAGGAGCAGAAAAGAGGGGACAAGTTTGAATACCCAGCTTCTGGCTCATACTGCTGCACACAGCCCCTCAGCCAGTCCTCTGCTGCTGAATTTAACAGTCTAGTGCTAGATTAGATCTTGAATGTAGCCATTGGCCACTCACTGCCACCCTCTGTGAAGCTGAGCCGCGGGGTACCTCAGGGGGCTGTCCTCGGACCACTCTTGTTCTTTCTCTACATATTACCCCTGCGGTATGTCATCCACAGGGTTAATGTGAGCTTCCATTCCTACACAGATAAAACTCAAATGTATCTCTCTGTTATCATGTTTGGCCCAAAAAATCCTGCAGAGGTAATTATCATCGGCACCGCTAATGCTTAGGCTTCACAACATCTGGGCTTCATCATCTATGAAAACATCCTCTGCTTGAACAAGCATGGTTATTGTCCAGTCTTGCTTCCTGCAGTTCGGGAAAAATCTATAAGATCAGTTCATATCTATACACTAGAAATATAGAGACGGTCATACATGCTTTTATTAACTCCTGTTTGGACTATTGTAACTTTCTCTATGCATGTTCAAAAAGCAAAAAACCTGCCTCTTCAATAAAACCAAAAAACAGAGTACATTATTCCTATTTTAGCTTCTCTTCGTGGCTCCATCAGCTTGATTAGCCTGCAAATCACCCACCCAAAGAAATAGCAGCGTAGGGAGGCTTCAGCAGACTGCGCTGTCATCTCTTTACCGTATTTTTCCACCCGTGATCCATTATCACAGCAGCAGGTGAGCCGCTTGCTTGTTAATGACGCAGTCTATCAAACAACTCAAACAACCCAAACTAACATTTGCACCCTGTGTTCAATGTTGCTGTAACGTTACCTGGTCTGTGCTTGTAAAATATCCACCGCGACTTGTAATGTCATTTCACGTTTTTAACCAAGTAAAGCCTGTGCGAGTGAACACATTCACATAAGACGACTTTTTTTTCTAAAGCGATTTCTAGCTTTGTTTTGAAAAGTGTTATATAAAGTTTATTATTATCATTAGTATTACCTGCTCATCCCTCTGCTTCCACTGCTGCCACCCCTCTGCAGGCATGTTGTGGTCCCCAGATGTAGGACTGAGAAGTTCACCTGCTATTCCTGACAGTGTCATACACGGAGGTGGGGCACAAGACTTCTGAGGAATCTTCTTGAAGGCCAGATTACGTAACTGATTGAAAGAGAGAGAGAGATGAGATTAATTCATTTATTGAGTGCCAACACTTGCTCTAAACAGCTGAGAGCCAAACAAAACAAAGAACACAATCGGTTTCTTTGTAAAACCACCCTCTGCAGTTTCAGTTCAGGTGAAGTGAAACAACAGAGGAGCACAATCACGATTGATGTCTGTCACAAAACGTAAGTCGTGAGATGCTTCTTTCACTCACCTCATTTGCCTCGGTCTGCTGCTGTTCCTTCTTCTTCTTTTTTTTGTCTTTCTTCTTGTCGTTGCAATGAGCAGCTTTCCCCCCAGCTGCTCCTGCCTTTCCTTGTCGGGGCTTCCCGGAGGAGTCCCGTCCACCTTTGGTGATGGTCTTCCCCGCATCGGAGGCGTCCGAATCCGAATCCGAGTCTATCTGGAGCAGGGCGAAGCGGGAGGCGGTGGTGGGTACAGTGATCATTGCAGACGATGCCATAGCGAAAAGAAAAACTAACCGATGACAAAAAAAGGAGATAAAGAACAATACAGTTAGGATAACTTGAAAACAACAACTTAACGTTAGCTTTTTGTCGCAGGTTCTTTTCAAATACAAATATCACCTTATCTTGGCCTACATAGTTTTACCAACAGAATATACAGTTAGTATGCCTATCCAGAATAGGCAGTCATGATGTTACATGCATAGTAGCTAGCATCTGGTGCCAGACGCAGCTAGCATTACATAGCAGCAAGTTGTTAGCTAACGTTAGCTCTACAACGCACAACTGTGTTAGCCGATTTTGTTAGCTTCTAAACAAGTGCAAAAGTAGTGATGCGTTACAGTCAAAAACACATTAACGGACTTACGTTGACCTTTTATGTTTATTACAGTCGCTGACTGGTTTTTGAAGAGTATGTACTCACAAGAAAAGTATCTAAAGAAGACTTTTCACCTGTTCGTGAGAGTACCGTCTGTTACCGTTGGTTTGCTATCAGCAACTGCCTGAGTACAGCTGCCCACTGGGGCCAAAAAGAGTAAAGGCTGGGATTCCGATTGGAGACTGCACCCTGCTATCACCTCAGAAATGTATTATTAATGTAGTTATCCGATCTGTAATGTGTACTTTGTATATTGTGTGGCGTCTATACACTGTTTTCTGCCAGAATCTGATTTTAAAGCAAATCATTAATTGTCCTCTAATAGTTTGCTCAGCTGTGATTTTTTTTCTCTTCAACTTCATTTATCATAAATTACATTAATAGCCAGATATATACACACACAAAAGGACCTACATGAACAAACATACATACACTTTTTCCTAATCCTTATCAGATATAAACAACTGTAGAAAAAGTGATAAATACATACAGATGGTAAACAAATGCACGATACTAAAGGGGTAAATTTATTGTACAATGACAATATACAGAGGATAAAGTAACCGATATGGTGTCAAGGAAGTGCATCAAATACATTTTTCTAACAGTCTATAAATCTGTGGCTTTTCTTAAGGGATTTGAGAAGTGACTTAAATTCAACTTAAAAAACCAGGAACTGAAGGTTGAGGGTTATGAGTTTCTGTGTATGTGAGAAAGATTTTCCCTGTAAAGTTACCAAAGTACTTTCTTGAGAGAAACGTTATAAGTGAACATGGGGGGCTAGAAAATGAAACAATTTAAATCAGACCAAAATGTCTTTGTAGAATCACACTGAAAGAAAAGATGGATAAATGTTTCATCAGTGCACAAAAGAACCAGGAGCTATCAACATCCACATATCTGGATATTACAGAATTTACAGGATTGATTTTGTGTAAGATTTTAAAATTAATTTCTTTTATCCCTCAGTTGTGATATGTCACTTGTCATGTCACCTCTCATGAAGTCATATCTGTCATTACAACTGTCTTATCACCATGACAGCTGACTAAACTCCATCCTCTGAGGAAGACTGTGTGATGGTGAAAGTAATTCACCATCACACTATGATTAATGAATAATTCAATGAATAATTTAAATTTATAACTGCTAAACTGAATGGTCTTGATTTGATTAATCTGGTTATGTCATATTCAACTGTAAACTTTTTGGATTTTGTTGCAAACTGCTTTGGCAACATTGTTTAAATGAAACGTTCATGCCAATAAAGCACAGAGCTGAAAGCTCTCGGAAAGCTAGGCCTCAAGTAAGAGCTGATTTTGTGGCTCTGTCAGGTAGACAACATATTAAATAATAGATTATTGAATTTATGTATTACATATTTATAAATGGTTATGTTCAATCAAATTAACACAAGAAAACTGACTTGTAAAGGTTAAATTATGTTTCTAATTTAGTTAGTGACAGAAATTAACCATCAAATGTGTAACAGTCTTTCCCCATTTTTAAAATAAAAGTATGATAAGTATGGTAGTTTTAAGCAATTTGTCACATTGTTCACACTATTTACACCATGTCGTACATTGGGATGCACACTTTCGGCTCCAGGGGTTAATCTATTGGAATGAGCCCATACAATAAAGGCAAAACAGCGAGATATACATATTAGTTCATTTAATAATAAGGATCTGTAATAAGAGTCACCCATGTAAAAATAATTTACACAACAAATCAATATATAACTCACATTACATAGTGCACGCAGATACAAATCATTTGTAACAAAAAAAAAAAAAATGCATAAAATACACGACCAAGCTTTATATTACTGTTATAGTGCAGAACACTTGATCTACTGGCCATTTTAAGTGCTAAACAGTGCAAAGGCGAAAGACAAAAGCACTTCTCTTCACGAGACACTATTTGATTACATTTAACAACAGGTTGATGAACATGTTTTCCCCCAACTTATTATATTGTTTAAACTTATAGTATTTGTGAAAGGGGGAGAATCAATGCAGTGGTTGCAGATGGTAATAACCTTAAAGTGAGCTACTGTATTATGATAAATACCCCTTTCTCAAAACAACTCCAGGATATAATTTATTTATTCAATGCAGTTATGTGAAAAAGATTTAGGACAATATAATATATATTTATCTAGGACAACAGCTTGAAACTCAAAATCCCCAAATCATTGAGGGGACCAAAACATGTGTATGTGCAGTGTTGTATTTGGGCGTGGCAAGAACTGAGACAAAACTCAATAATCGCAAATTTCTCTTTGTACATGTAATTTACTGACAGTAGTATGGGCATGTTTAACAAAAGGACATATTTCCTAAAAACTGAGCAAAAACGTTTCAACTTAACACACATTCGTCTCATTCTTTAGTGTATTCTGAATATGGACATGCATTAAATAGTGGCCAATACTTTGGTTAGTGAAGTAATTTAATGAGCCTGTGAGAACTTCTCACTGACCTCAGTGTCCTTAAATTAAGTGTTTTCTCTCAATACATGAACATTTTCACAAGATACTTAAGATGAGTTTTTTTCCATCGGCTATTCATGACACACATTTTTAGCCCCTAACTGGAATCTGCTGTACACACCCCTGCTGCTAAGTCAGGTACTATGATGTACGTAAAGCCACTGAATAGATCTGCAAATGATGCATCTTCATCTGTCAGTGTTTCAGGGCACTTCTATGGAGTCCTCTAATATTGACTCTGTGCTTGTGTCCACAACAGACTGGCGCCTCCTTGTGGCAGAACCACAGACCTGCAGGTCAGCTGGAGAGATTTGTCTCAGCTCTCTACGACACAAACGGACTGATGTCATCTCTAAACTTTCCCCAGATTGACCAGCCCCTCTTTCACTACCCCCCTTGGGTTGTGTGTGTATCTGGTTGTATTGGGGCATTTTTGTCTTTTTGCGTGTTTGGAGGTCAGACGATGAGGAGAGACAGGGGGTCTGGTGTGCGTGTCTCTTCACATGTGAATCGCTGTGTGTCTTTTTATCTATTTGTTCAGTGTGTATCTTTGTGTATGTTACTGGAATATGTGTCCTCGTCTGTACCTCTTCAGTGCACGTCTGGGGTTCGCTTGCACTTGCATGTGTGTGCGTATTGTGTGTTTGTCTGTGCTCCTGCAAGTGTGAAGATTGATTGACAGGGTGTAGGGTGTCACCAAGAAGCTCTTTGAGTTTTTTTTTAAGCTGTCGGCTGGAGCTTTTGTAGAAAAACAACTCTTTCTCTAGATGCTGCAGTCTGTCTTGGATAGCCTGCTGTGCCTTTCCAGAACCACCCTCTAAACACACACACACACACACACACACACACACACACACACACACACACACGGTGAGACAGAAGGAAATGAAACTGCAATATTCATGAAAAAAATTCTGTATAAATATTATGGAGAGTGACACAACCAAATATTTCACATGTAAATGGTTCTGTCAAGGTTGATCTAATGTCCTCACCTTTAAGTTTCTGCAGCAGTAGCTGGATGTTGCTCTGGTGATCTCGGTGCTGCTGGGTGAGCCTGCGGTCTGCATCCAGGGCCAGGCGCTGCATGGCGACCTCAAACTCTCTCACCACCGCCTCTTGCTCTCCAGCATGAAGCTCCAGCTCTTCACAACGCAAATGCAAGTGGCGCTCCCGCTCACGAAGACAAACAACCTGGAGAGAGTGATACTGATGTTATTATAACATGATACAATAATTACAAACATACTGGCTGAATCTTGTACCTTTGTTTACTTTCACACCAGCAGAGAAAAAACAAGGGTAGCAAAACAGGTCGGAGGCAGCTAAGCATGGTATAATAAAATAACATGGTGCAATAAACCTTTGGAAAAGAAGTTGATATGGTTTATAATGTTAATAACGCATATCCGCTGAAAGGATAAAGGGCACAGTATGGAGCGTTAGGGGAGCAGACCGACGGAGGAGATATACAGTCCCAATGTCATGAGACAAGAGTTCAGAATTTCAGATGTTTAACACATCTAGATGAGAATACCACTAAATGAAATTTCGAACTGAAATTCTGAACTCTTGTCTCATACTCAAATGTCTTCAGTGAACAACAAAAACAACAGAATTTGCCTTACCGTTCCAATACTTTTGGAAGGGACTGTAATTTAATTAGCATTACAGAAATAGTGCAGCTGCATTTCACAGAAGCACACACACACAGAGAGAGAGAGAGAGAGAGAGAGAGAGGTAAATAATGGAGGAAGAGAAAAGGAGAAACATCTCCAGCTGCAACAGAAAGAGAATATGTCAGTGTTCAGTTTCTGTCTGGCTGTGTTAGAATCCACTAGGAAAAACAGACAGATAGCATTCAGGTACTTGGAAAGAAGCTAGAATTTGTGCTTTTTATGTACAGCTGAATGTTGCGTATATCCACACGTGTGTATTTTAGCTTACCTTGTTGAAATATTTGACGAGCAGCTCCGAAGCCTCAGGTGTTGTGAGCTCCTTCAGCTTCCTGATGACATCACAGAGTTGGGCGGGTTCAGTGCTTTGTGACCGATGTGAAGAGCAGTCTGTGATTATCAGCTTCTTCTGTTTGTCCTGGATGGAGCGGTTTTTAAACTCCAGAGCTGCATCCAGGGCTTCAATAGCTTCCTCCAGCTGCAGCAGGGAATGCTCCTCCTACATGATGACATACACAAAGTGCACAAAAGAAGATAGATGCATGCTGATGAGCGATAAACACACATCCTGTATCTCATACACACATACAAAGTTCCCTCTTTTTCTGACCTCCACAGTGAGCACTCTGTTGTCCTTCAGCTGGGCATCCAGAGTGTCTCTCCTCTTTTTAAGCATGACTCTCTCTTTCTCCAATTCCTCTATGGCGATTCCTCCAGTCTGCCTCACACTGCTGCTGCTCTGCAGCTTCTCCTCCAAAGACTCCAACTGCATCGACACATGCAGGAGGTCCTGACTTAGAGCCTGGAAAGTCATAGATAAAAAACTTCCAGATTCCAGCTTCAATAATTCATGTTGCTCTAATCCATGTGTGTCATTGATAGCAATCATTTGTAAATCACAATTAAAACTTCACATATACACAAGCTGACCTGACTGGAGCGTAGCATCTTAAT